CTCTTGGAGGAGAGACGAAACGTTTCATTAGAGAAGAACCCGTCCAGAAGACCTATACAATTTTTTTTACAGTCCTTTTATTTGAATGATTATGTCCTGCTGGAGTGTGACATGATTTGTTTGTGTACAAACTAATACAGTATCAGCGTTTTATATATTTATGCTTCTCATTTAACCACAGTTAAATTCACTCTATCTAGGAGGCACAGTTTATATGGTAATTTTTTTTACAATAACAAGCTGGAATAAAAACAAGCAAAAATGAAATAAAATTAACAACTTTCTACTGCTTGTCTTTTTTAAAAATGTAAGGAGAAGAAGTAAAAAGTAGGTTGAAAAATAATTACTCAAGTACAGATACCCAAAAATTCTACTTAAGTACAGTATGTTTTTTTTTTGAAATATAACATTTTCTGTGGGCTTCATTAAGACGCATTGAAAACAAATGGAGCAGCTTGGGTTTGGTCCAACACTGCCTCCTTCTGACATTATATGAGAGCTTCTGCAGAATTTAAGTATCATACAACATTTAAAGCTGCATTGATCACAGAAGTGTGGATTTTTCCTGTGTTTAAAGATTTATAATAGTTTAATATTTATGCAAATTAAGTTGCTCAAGTGCACAATACAATACTCAGTCCTGCAGCTCCAGCACATCTGATTTAAATAAATGAGCAGCTTTGCATTTCTAACAAATCAGTTTGACTCATTTTGCACACTTCATTAAAAAAAAACCCAGATATCGGGGAATCCTTTACTTTGCAACGTTTACTAAACAAAAATGTGTTTTTATGGTAGGTAAGAAAGAACAAAGAAAAAAGATTTGGACATAGAAAAAACTAAATTAAGTGGGGTGGGTGTGAAAAATAAGTTTAAACTCATACCCAGTCCTTTGAACATGTAAATATAATATTTCACTGTTGTTCTTCTTTTGTTTGCTTTTTGTTTTAAATTTTTGTTCTTTTGTATGTAACTTTGTTTATTCTTTAGTTACTTTACATTAAATAAAGTCAAAGTCAAAAGGTTGGTTCTTTTTTCTGAAACAGTGTATGTAAGCCTAAAAAGGTTGGGTGTTTTATTTTGAAACTAAGTGAGTGTTAACATGACTGAGTTGGGTGTTTTATTTTGAAACAATGTGTGTGTTTGTATTAACCTGACTGAGTTGGGTGTTTTATTTTGAAACTAAGAGTGTGTTTTTATTATCCTGACTGAGTCAGGTGTTTTATTTTGAAACTTAGTGTTATCCTGTCTAAGTTGAGTGTTTTAATTTTAAACTGAGTGTGTGTTTGCATTATCCTGACTGAGTTGGGTGTTTTATTTTGAAACTGAGTGTGTGTTTGTATTAACCTGACTGAGTCAGGTGTTTTATTTTGAAACTTACAGTAGTGTTATCCTGACTAAGTTGAGTATTTTATTTTGAAACTGAGTGTGTATTTGTGTTAACCTGACTGAGTTGGGTGTTTTATTTTGAAACTGAGTGTGTATTTGTGTTAACCTGACTGAG